AAAAAAAAAAAAAAAAAAAAAAAAAAAAAAAAGTGAAAAAAGCGAAGTAACATGCCATCAAGTGGTGTCAAATAAGGCTAAAACTGCTCTGCTGAATTACACATATTGCTTTAGATAACATATCATTCATCACCAGTGATATTTTGTACAATCACTGCAGAGCATGCGTGAGGAGATGGGTGCTCACACATCTGTGTTCTCTACTCTTACCCCGTTTAAGAGATTATGATCACAATAAGACAACCTGATCAAATAAAGTCACTTAAGTGATTCAGATATTAGATTGAAAGATCTCTTAGGATCAAGATAATCACCAAAATCCTTTTGGGGCACATTGGTCTCAATGTTTTAGTGTGAAGAAGACAGCACTCACTGACCTGTTGCCGTCAAACTGCAAAGCTTGATGTATGATTGTAGTGCTGCTGGGGGGAAAAAAAGAAATGGAGCCACAGTGCTTAAAAAGTGTATATAAAGTGTATATATATATAAAGATGTGGCATCGCCCTCGCTCTCTGATATGCTGGCAGATATTGTCACACCTCATCTCAATTCAGAAAGTGAAGGCTATTTCATCTGCCCGCTTTTTCATTTACTGCTGCTTTCAGCAAAATGGATTCCCTTTCATCCTTTTAGGCCACATCTCTGAAGGACACTGTCACATTTCAGCAAGACATTTACAGAGTTTGCTCTCAGCACTGCTTTCTTGTACGTCTTGAAAACCAAACCTAAATAAAAAGATGGAGACAGAGCAGCTAGTTGAGAGTTATCGCACTTTTTAAACCTGTATTGGTGAACCTATAAGCTATACAACCGTATATTGGTAACACTTTATAACACCGCCTGTCCATATAGTCTCCTGATTTATCATGTAGTTCCTCTTAACTTAAGTGAAATATCAATAGCCTACAAATAAGATACTTACCAGCTCCTTACTGGTATTAAAATGTAGGTACAGCAGGACAAGTAACAATTGGGAAATTTAGAGGAAAGAATAAGTTATTTTACAATGTCAGAAAAACACAGTATAGCTTACAGTAAGTCTGTACTGTAAAATGTCACTCAACAGGGTGTGGGAGGAATAAATAGACTTAGTTCGTATTGTGATAGAGAAAATGAGTTTTATTCTCATGTTAATGTCTCAACATACAAATCACATTCTTTTTAATAAAAGAAAAGTTCATCAGTACCTGGCATCTACTGTAGACTCTTTCTAAAAATACAACAATTTCACGTTGCATCCCGCTCTCGCTCTACCATATGCCATCTACTCAGAAAAATAGTAACATTACAGTTGGCTTCTGCTTACTCTTTCAGCCCAATAGTCAAACTTGTGGACCAATTTTCCTTTGAAAAACTGTGCAAGAATAGATCCCTTTTTAATAATTCAAATAAGAAGTGATCCTTTTTTTTCCAATTAAGAATAAAAGGCCATCAATGAAATGTAAGGAACTGATGTGACAGATAAAAACGTGAATTAGTTACAGAAGAAATTATAGTACCTATTCGTAGTCTACTGGAAACCTAGGAACAGTTATGTTTAAGGTTAACAGATAAACAAGTGCAAAACAGAAATATAAGGATAAAGTTGCCTTAGTGGATTTTGGCACAATAAGATACAGGATATGGTTTTGAGGAAGGGCAGAATATTTGTTGCCTCCTGAATAAAAAAATACAATTAAATAACAATGAAAAGTCACTAACATTTAAACAGATCAGAGGAAAATCCTTTAAGATATTACCCCTGCACATTTTGCTTCATAGTGTCTCTTTTAATGAGTACGTTGACAAGTGACTGATAACCAACCACAAAAAACAAAAATAAATTCTTTAAAAAACATGCTAATACCTGCTAAGACATGACTTGACCGCCAGACGTTCCTAGGCGTATGAACTAGTAAAAATACATGTAATATATATTTATATATATTTGTTTCTTTTTTTCCAGATGTATCTGCATACTGTATATGTTATACTCTATATTGTTGTTAAATATATGTTA